AGAAAGCTGTGAATAGCTTGGCAGTGGCATGAAGCACAACCACCTTCTTGTCAACATCCCACCTTCTTGTCCTTTTCTTTCTCCAACCGCCGACGCTTCTCGCTTCTCTGATTTCTCTCTCCCGTGCGGCCACCCAGCATGTCTCCCAATAATTACTTCCTTTCACGACACGACACGTGTCTTTATCAACACGTTGGGTCTTCCAATTGGTTTCAAATGTTGAGACACTGTACAGGTTCAACCAGCGGATAGAACCTTTTTCCGAAGAAAAAGAGCAATGGTTGCATACAGTGCCCGCACAAGAAATTCTGGAGGCATCTTTCTCTCTCTTCCTTCTTGCTTTACGCTACCGCAGAAGAGAGAGAAAGAAGCGATCGTCAAGTTTTCTATCTACCTGTAGTTTTGTTCGCTTAATACGAGTTTAATTGTGGAAGCTGGGTTGGTTTTCCTCGGATTGGAATTCGTTCGAGTTTAAGTTCTAATTCGTTGCTGCTTTCGGTTTTTTATGAAGATGCTGGTGGCTAACAGTTTTGAACTATGGCAAAAGGACGCTTTCTTTTCAGCGGCTGAGGAGGTGCAGGAATCAGCTGATACGTATGCTTCCTTTCTTAATTTGCTGATCCCGGGCTTACGGTTCTTTGTATGATCTTTTTTATTTTATTGCCTGTAATTAACTGTATGATTCGTAAAACGGCTTCTCTGGGCTTTAGGTAATATGGGTTTTGCTACGCCTAAATTTGGCATGAATTCCGATTTAGTAACTCCTTTATTTTTAATTAGAGGAAATTTCGGGATATCTTTTTCTTTTACATCTTATGTGGACGAAAGTATAGAAACAACGGAGAGAGTAATAAGATGTGTGGAATAAGCGTACAGTTTTGCATCAAATAATTTGGGATCAGATGAGATAACTAATTCGCTGTGTCTGGGGGTGATCTTAAGCTATTTATACCCAGCATAGTATGCCTTACTAATTTAGGATTTACTTCAGTTGGTATTGGAGCTTTGGAGGGAATTATTACGCTGTCCTGAAAAATTTCATTTCTGTTTATCTTGATTTCTCGTTTCCCAGAATGGAATCTGTATACAGGGCTTGGATAAGACAGAGGAGAGAAAGGTCAACTCCCGAGGTATTAGATGAACTACGCAGGGAGCTGCAAACTGCTTTAGGTACTGCTAAATGGCAGGTAAGTTAATATTGCCCTTATATTTACTTCAATTCCCTGTTTCTCTTTACCTATCATAGACATTTAGCACTCAAACTACAATGTTGTTTTGTTTTATAGATTCCCTCACATCACCAAAATGTTCATTTTGTTAATTTTCTGCTTTGACCATGCTGAAATAGTTGGAGGAATTTGAGAAAGCTGTCAGGCTAAGCTACAGACATCTTGGTGACGACAATACAAACATAGGCATAAGCAATTTATTTCTGCCATTGAAAACCAAATTTCCCATGTGGAAGCAGCTTTGAGGGAATCTTATGTTGAGGAAGGTAGGCAACCTCTTGGCTGGGTTAACCTGGATGATGAAGAGCGAGATGATCTAGCAGCATTTCTATCCGGAAACTCTCAGACTCTAAGAAGTGCTAAGGATGAAAGCTTAGAACTTACGCATTCCTTGAAACTCAAAGAAAAGCAGGTCAACAGAAAAGATAATAAATATAATGTTAACGATGACTGCATTGGGATTATATCTGCTGATCATATAGATTCCAAGGAAGAAAATTATATAATAGACATAAAAGCAGATGCGGTTTCTGGAAGTACTGAAGATGTAGTTTCTCAAGCAGATAGAACCCCTTGCTCCTCGAGGAAAACATGGAGTTTATCTAATTATGGGGCTTTAAAAGTTGTAATTCCTGATGAAGATGAACAGAGAAATGAATTCAGGCAGACTGTTGATGCCACCCCTAAAGAAAAAGGATCCAAACCCATATTTTGGAGACAAAAATGGGAAGAATATCCTCGTTACATTCGAACAGTTCATATGTTCAATCAGGTTAGTGAATGAATTTTTAAGATGTACATGCAAAATAAAACAGCAGAAGTGCTCAATATCAATTCTTCTTTGCTTTTAATTATCATTTAATAAAGATATATCCCAATACTTAAGATTTTGTGGGGCTGCATTCCAATGAGAAGTTAATAAATTTTAATATTATGCAGGTCTTGGGTCATACTGGTTGGTTCCTGAGACAATTTCCAAGCCCCCTACACTTACGACATAGTTGTTCAGTTCAAGTTAAACTTGCTCTGATGCTGACCATTTTTCTCATCGGTAAGCTTCGAATTTGAATTACCTGCTCTAATAACTAAGGACTCTGTTGATATTGAACTGTGTTTAATTTATGTTTTATCTCAATAATTTTCTCATGCCCTTGTGGCCAGTATAGAATGAAAAAGTGGAACATAACTTCATTGTCTTTTGCTTTCTAGATATTGCCTAGAAGATTTTGACACTTGCTACAATCTTTGATGATTTGGTTAACAAGTACTAGTTTTCTTGGAAGCATCAGTTGAGGATTTTATAGTATTGTCTTTTTCTTTTCATGTGCATACTCTTAATATTAAAGAAAGGAAGCCATGAGAATATTTAATATTAAAGAAATTCCATTTTCTTGAGAAAGCTTACTCTTAATATTTGTTTTATTAAGGTGATAACTTTTATGGCTAGATTTTGCACTTACAAAATTCTGTGCGGGTGCGTTTATGTGGAGGAATCAGTTAACGTTGGTGTCAATCAAAATTAGTCTTGCACCCTGGGATATTTTTTTTATAGGATAAACTTTTCTAAAGTTCACTGTTAGATAAAATTTTTTAATCATGAATGTAATCCTTACAAAATTCAATAATCATCCAAAGTTGTTTGATGTCCTATCAATATATCCCAAAAAATGATGTACAGTATACTTTTTTTACACAACGAAATATTAACTATTTGACTGTCTACTTGTAGTTTTATTCTTTTTTTTTTATGAAATTTGACACGTATCAATATGGTGATTATTAATCTAACTGATGGATCAATGAAGACCAATTCTTATAATAAGACATTGATGGGGTTAAAGAGTGAGAAATCTTACAGTGGGATCAATTGATCCCTCCCCTATATATAAAAATATATATATATATATATATCTACCCCTACCTACCGGCGGACCTACCTAGATTTCTGAGATTTCACTCTTGCTTTGCTTTTATTTTACTTCATTTGATTCATTTTTGGAAGCAGTTACTTGGAACTCCATTTTGAAGTGACTCTTTCACTTACAACATGTTGGGTAGGGGTGGTGAACCTTTCTATTCTTAGGTTTTTCAATGAGAAATAGGAGTGAGAAGGGGTGAAGCACTGAGCATGTTTGTGTTGTTTCAACATAAACAGTGGATAGAATACTCCATTTATATCCTGCGTAATTTCAGTTTGAAGAAATTCAATCTTTTGGACTGGTTTAGACCCCAACTATCCCACCTCAATCACTTCATCTATCTAAAGAACTACGAACATGTCTCGTTCATTGCAGGGCATGTTTCTGTGCTTTTCATGGGGAGACATAATTGTGACCAAATAAATTATGGGATCCGCAAGTTTCAAAGTTTAAAAAGAAGGGGGATTCAAATGTTATGCCACAAAATCAATTTGTAGCCTCATGCAAGACAGATCTCAAATCATACTATTGTTTACAAGCGAAATACATCACATTGACTTTCTATACAATTAAGATATTTTATAGTTATAATATAGATTTATATTATCATTCTCCATTCTCTCTCCGCTCGATCAATCCAAGCATGAAAGTCTTCAGAATGTCTTTGCCTGCCTGTTTGATTGCATAGAACAGGGTAAAGGTTCAATATGCTGAAGTAATTCTATTTTGTTCTATTCTTCCAATTATGTTTTTATAATTCTTTATGTTATAGATTACCATGTGCAGTTTATAATTCTGAATTGAAAGATTTCAGAAGCGTCAGTCCCAATTACTGCGTTTTGAATGTATCCCTTGCTTATTTTGCAGTTCCCTTTGTACTTTATTCCACTTGAATTTAGATGCTTCTTTACTCAACCAGATCATGAGGTATTTCAACAGCCATGGAACTGTGTATTTATTCTTTTTACGAACAAACATTAGGGCCTGAATCTGGCAAAAGCTTATTTGTGATGCAAGTTACAAGTGAACTTGTTGGATAAGATGGCATTCCCCTTCAGCTATTAGGTGGCTGATTGTTAAGCATGACCTTTATCTTTTATATGAAGTCACTGATGGATTTTTCGACAAGCACGAGCAGATTCCCAAGCGACTTTTAGACATCAGAAATAATTAATTGCCTCATCATCTGTGTTTGGGATTATTTGAATTGATGCTGATTGTGGTTTACTTGTTAAGCAAGACCTTTTTCTTTATTTAGAAGGCACTAGTGGATTTTTCAACGAGAAAGAGATTACCTGACCGATTTTTAGGCTGAAAGACAGACACCAGAAATAATTAATTGGCCCATCATCTGTATTTGATGCTTCTGATATCTAAATCAAGAGATTACCTTCCATTAGAAGCCCTTATATTAATGTTTTACTTTTGCAGTGCTTATCTTGGCTCTGTGACTGATAGAATCGAGGTCATTGGCCAAATGTTTATCTGAATACATTGGCGCTATCCTTTCAAGTGGAAAAGTAAGAAAAGAGCCGATGAAGAAGATAGTTTCTAAAGATTAAAGAAGTTTCTTTAGTAATAGGATTGAACTAGGAACAAGAACGGGTTTCGTTTCTGTTTCCTGGGGCCACGAAATGTAAATGCTTCCATTTATCATTTAATGTAAGTTTTACTATATTCAGTAGTGAGATAATTGTTTGGACGCAACTTTTTTTCTTTTAAATTACATGTGCCTTTACTGTAAGTTTGAAGTCTATCAGACAGCGGCAAAATTCTTTTGGGTATCAAGGCGAGAAGTGAATGCCTCTGAATTTTCATTTTATGATTTCTGAGAACAAGCTGCGAAGGAGAAGGCGGTGTAGACGAAAATTAAATTACATCAAGGTATGAGGTCAGTTAATTTCTGATAGGAAAATACGTGCGGCAACTGCAACCAAGATTGAGAATGTGGATTGGGACGAACGTTAATCCGATGGAAGTCAAAATAGCATATTAATATTGTAGGCATGAAAAAAACTGTGATTTCTTTTGGGGGGGGGGGTGGTGTTTAGTTTGGCAGTGGCAGTGAGGATTAAAGTCAAAACATACGATGATATTACAGAATTATGGAAACTTCGTACAACTACAAGAAACGAGAGTGTTCATCAACTAAACAAGCTTATATCACACACGTTACGATAAATAAGAACATAATAACTCGAACATCAGACCCAGAAATTCAAAATGGAGAGTCACCCAAAAAAATGTGTCACAACGTCTCTCACTCTATTCTTCAAGTATTTATGTACCTTACATCTCTACCCCGAAAACACCTTCTCTTGTGATAACGAATTCGCAGGAGGATTCAGGCAGATGTGGAGCAAATACAACACTGAGCCTCCTCCTCGATTTGCTCTGTTGATAAGCCCCACCTTCCTCATCAGCCAAGCTGCTTCTTCCTACCACTACCTCCTCATTCCTCGACATGAACAGCCTCGAGTTCACGCAGTTAGCCCACGCAATCCCTAACGCAGCACAAACCCTCCTCCCCGATGAACTCAAACTACTCAAATTCCCAACCCTAATCCCATTCACACCCTCTGCAGCTCCGCTAATCAAATCAACCACCTGGTTTGTCAACACCACCGCCAATCCAAATCTACTCGCCAATGACTTCAGATTCCCAGAAATCTTGAAAAATAGCGACGACCTGCGCTTCAGATCGAAACCTGTGTTCTCGAATTCGGATCGAAACAGAGCAGCAATGGAATCGATCACTATGAGCCTAACAGGAAACTGCGATTTTGAGTTCACCTGGAGGAATAACTCTATCTTGGGCATTATATCGAGCATCTCATCCGCACAATAAACATCCTGCACGAACACTTTGTCACAAGGATCGTAGCTGTTGGAAGATGTGAAAATATCCGAGTGTGAGGATACGAAAGAGGTGGATAGCTGTCGAAGACGACGAAAGGGGAAAGGGAATTCGGTGTGGATGTATAGGGATGAAGCTGATAAGCCGCCATGAGAGGGTGGTAATTGAGCAGAGAGGACGAGTTGGAGACAAAATTGGGTCTTCCCGCAACCGCTTTCAGCCACTAGTTCCGTCAAGGAGTTGCAGGAGATGCCGCCGGCAAGAAAACGATCCAGTACGGGACAACCGACAGTGCACCTTTCCGTTCGAAGCTTCAATAGACTTTCTGGAGTCATTTCTCCCACTCCTGTCTCTCTACATGGGCGAAGAAGTAGGCGAAGAGGAATTTGGGAGGGAAAAGATCCAGAGGAACACGAAGCGTGCCATGTCAGCCTTAAGTCCAGTCATCATCCCAGTCAATGGACACGTGGCACGCCAGCCAGCCCGTCGTTCCAATCATCATACAGTTACCCTCCGCATGGCTCGCCAGGTTAACCCATGATCCCAGTTATCATCCCAGGGCCACTCGGAACGCCATGTAATCTGAGAGGTCCAGTCATCATCAGAGTCGAAGGCCTAACGCAATCCACGTCAGCCATAGTCACAGTCATCATCCGTGTCAGCGTTTACGTGGCACGCCATGTCAACCTCTTGTCCAAGTAACATGGCACGCCTTGTCATCATCCCAGTCACCACACCACGTGGAACGCATTGCCAGCCCTTAGTCCAGTCATCAGCCTAATAACGATCGCATGTCATGCCATGTCAGCCCTTAGAACCGTAATCATCCAAGTCACCATACACGTGGTATGCCATGTCGGAAGTTTGTCTTAGTCATCATATCAATCTGTAGACATGTGGCTTGCATTGTCAGCCCTTAGTCCAGTGAACGTCCCGGTCAATGGACACGTGTTTGAATCCATCCTTATTGGGTTAAGCAAGCGTGGTTAAATGGGCCTACGATTGGCCCAATGGTAAGATCCATGTGACGGGGAACCATTACTTGTTTTGTGATGTCTTTTAATGAACCTTTGGGAGTTGAACTATATAATTTTTAATTTATTTCGATTAATAATTTTATTTTGACCTTTTCAATTTATTTTTAATTTAGTTTAATTAATAGATTTTAAAAAATAGTAATGCTATTTCCTTATGAAAAAAAAATTGAAGTTATATTTACGGACCATAATAAAAAAGGTTAAAATTAAGAAACAAATATGGAAATTATAAATTAGGAGATAAAAAATATATTTTAACCTAAAATAAATAATTTTATGCTATTGCTTGAAGTCTTGTACTTCATCTATGGAAATTATAAAAAATAAATATGTTTTTCAACCTGGGTTTCATGTTTTCTCGTTCACCTATTATTTGATAATCTTATATTTAAAACGTTCGCCCCTGATGATGATACTTCCTAATAAGGATAATATAAATTTTAGTACTTCAAGTTTGCATGAATTATCAATTCATTTTTTCATGTTTAATATTTATAAACTTAGTCCTTAACGTTTAATACTTTCTATAATCTTATTTATAAGTAAAAAGGGAAAAAAATTATTCTATTTATAAATCAAATCATTAAATTTTTATTAAAATTTTCCTATTTATCTCCAATTAACTATTGGAAAAAGAAATCATATTGTTAAAATAGATATATTTAAAAAAAATAATTTTTTAATCCTTCAACTTTTAAGTTATTCGTAACTTAATCTCGAATCAATCATTCAACTTTTGACATATTTATGACTCAATTTCTAACTTTTGATTCATTTATAATCCAATCCCTCAAACTTTGCGAGTTTTCTTTTTTAATATAAACTTAAATCACACATCAAAGAGTAAAAGAAGAGTATTTTAGAATAAGATATAAGCATTTATTTTATCCTTTTTATTTGATAAAGATAATTTTTTAACAAAATTTGAAAAATAAAGATCGAATTATAAATTAGTTAAAAGTTGAGAAATTGAGTTGCAACAAGTGATAATTGAAAGATTGAGTTGCACTAAGTTATAGTTGAACAACGAAATTACAAGTTAGTTAAAAATTGAAGAATTAAATGATTAATTTTTTCTACATTTAATAATGGCAAAGTTCAAAAATTATTTAATTTTAAAATAAATTTAATGAATTTTAAAATTTCATTTAATTCTGATAAAATACATTAAAAATGGCTTATAAATAAAAGCATTTTCTATAGCTGATCTCGTTACTTTTTTCCTAAAATAAAGAATTGATGTATATTAAGAAAGCTGTTAATTAAAAAACAATCTGTACATCCAATTTAACCCTATATATTATTTCACTTTTTGTTTATGTCAATGTCATGATCTTATGTCGGTTTCCAGAGCCACCACCTAATTCTTATAAAATTTAAAAAATAAAATAAAAGGGGCAGTAAGTGAAATATATTAATAATATTTGTTTTCTAAAAAAACAAAATATTTTAGAGCAAGAGAATCCTGGAAGGGCATACCATTATCCCTCATGGATTGCCACTGTACATCATCTTTCCTTCTGCGCAATGTCACTATCAGATTCACTAGGATGACTAAAATGCCCCTACCATGCACTGCGATCGCCTTCATCGACGTCAAGCAAGGCCAAGAGGTTACTTCCGGCCAAATATGGGTGTGCAAATCACGTGACTTCGAATCATGTGGCCTGTGGCACGGCCATCGACGTCATCACCGATACACTTCTCCGGTCCTTGCAAGTTAGGGCTCTCAGAATCCTCCACGAAAACTTTCCCGATCTCCGATTCTCCACCATCTTCCCTCTTCCATTAATCACCGCGGGGAACATCGTCGTTGACGGGTTTCGGCGAGCCTGCCGGTTTTTCATATCGCTGAGCTCCATCTCCGCCGGTGCCTTAACTGTCCCAAGCATCACGGAACACCAGCGCGGCTTAAACGTCGCTCTTTTAACCGTCGAAGAATTTCGCTCCGCTTCCGGAGCCATAAACACGACGGAGATCGAAGACCGACGAAGCTTCCGGTAATCCAGGGACCTGCTGTTCTGCATCATCACGGAGCAGGGAGAATTCGCGAACGTCCCCACACTGTTGGATCGAGAGACATGGAATCGCACACCGGAAATAGGGTCGGATCTTAAGCGTCGGGCGGGCTGCATATTGGATTCTGTAACGGGTTTGTGATCAACCGGAGGAGAATTGGAGAGAGGTCTGTGCTTGAAGGGTTCGAGATCACCACAGAAGACGATCTCGTCAGCGGGGCACATGTCGGAAACGGCGACGTCGTTGAAGAACTCAAACAAATCGGAAGCTTCAGAAAAGGAGGAAGGACGAACTTCCACGGACGACATGTCGTTGAGTGGTAGGTCACACAGCGAGAGAGCCTCCTCTCGATCCTCCTCTTGTTCTAGTTCTTGGGTTGCATATTGTGGATCTTCATGAGCCATGTTTTGTGAGAAAGAAGGATAAAGAGAAATGTATAATTGAGCGTTTAATTAATAATAAGCAAAGAATGGTTTGAATATATACACACACACACACATATATAAATGAAGAAGAGAACAAAGGAGGGTGGTTTTAATTTTGGAGCATATAGATGTGGTGTCATGGGTTGGGATTGATTTGACGGTGGATTCGAAGGATTATAAGCAAACAAAATTAAAGATAGCGAAAGGCATATACATATATTGAGTGATCAAAATTGGGAAAACATTGAACTGTCCAAACGACACCTCCCAGAGTAAATAATTTACTAAGTTTCTAATGATTATGTGTGTCTGAACACATTATATACGATTAAAAATGGACATTAAAAGTTTGGTAAAAAAAAAAAGATTACAAGAAATCATATTGGAGAGATCAAGGGCTTATTTGAATAATTCTCAAAAGCATATTTAAACTACATTTGATATGTACTTTTATTAAATTCAACAAATAATTGAATCTCAAATGAAATTTTGCTAAATATAAACTGAAAACCAAACATACATTGAAAAAGCAAATAATCCCTCTAATCCTATTAACCAAATCATCAGATTTAAAAAAGTGATTAAAATTAATTAAGAGTATTGATTATTTCAAAAATATTTGAATCAAATTCCAAATAATCTTTAATTAAAATTATTAACTTTACCTTTAAATTTTAAACTCAAACATGTCACCCAAATAACCAATTAAATGCGTAGGCATTTTTTGAAATAACTCATTAATTCGTTGTCAAGTTTTATAAAGTGTCATGCATTAAAGACCAAACAGATATTTTAGAATTGTCTTATATTAAAGACACAGGAAAACATATTAGATAAAAAATGAAATAAATCAATTTTATACATACACTACGCTCAATTCTTGGTATCCTTTTTGCGTCTCTTCAGCACATTGAAAATCTTTTGAATTAATTTATTAATGAGTACATTTTATATGTTTATACATTTAAATTAAATTATTCAAAAATATCAATGTATGTTACTTTCTGGTGGCAAAAAAACCAAAAGAGAGGCGCGTATCTGGAAAAGATAAATGATTACTTGATCAGGAAACGAGTATTTCTTACTCAAATAAAAAAAACAAAAATTTAAACATAGACAAATTGAATCCTAAAAAATTATTCCCTCCATTAAAAAATTTAGGATATTTTTAATCAAATCTCACTCCTCAATAAAGTAGTTACCTACTTTCTAACCAATCATATCTTTTTATATTTGTTCCTATTAAATACCTTACAATAAATATAAAGTCATTATTAATAGGGATACTTTAAAAAAAAAGACAATGATTATATCTCAATAAATGCTTTACATTTTTTAATATTTAGTTTTTTAAAAATATTTTATATTTTTTAACAAAAAAATACATTTTAAATAAGATGCGCTTGAATTAAAATCTCAGGGATGCTATTGACTTGCGGTCAGGAGAGAGGTTAGCAGAAATGAAGCCGGCAGTGAGGTCCTATTGATCTTGTGTTGAAAAATAAAGCAATTAATTAAGGTGGACATTCCTTTTCTTTTTTTTGGGGTTGTTTTCAGTCAATTGATTTTGATTTTTGAGGGAAGATTTTTTGTTGCATGTTTTTATAGAAGAGAACAAATGTGAGCATAACCCATGCCAGTTAACTTAAGTAATAAAAGTGAGATAAAGTATGATAATAATCAAAGGCTCATCAATCAAAAATAAAAGTGTGTAAATTGTGATGATAATACAAAATTTGATAAATGTATCATAGTAATTCAGAACTCATAAATAATACTCCCTCCATCCCAAATTATAAAATATTTTTGGAGAAGATTTGACTTCTCAAAATATAAGACATTTTAAAAAAAATTAAAATTTCATTAAATAGGTTTATTTTAATATTATCTTTTTCTCTCTTTATAATTAATTTTCATCCCTTCTCTTTTTAATATATTAAATGATAGGTATTTTTAAAATTTTATATTTTTATTTTGAAAAGATAAAGTAGTCTAGTGTATTTAATGAGGTTTAACAGTATGTGAATTTTTTTAAAAAAAATGTCTTATAATTTGAGATAAAAAAAGTAAAAATTTTATGAATTAACACAATATATTGGATATGATATTCATATAAAATTTTAATGAGGTCTAATAATTGGATTCTTTTTTCTTTTGGTCATCACTAGAAAGTATATCATGATATACGCACCAACCATCTTGTGAATTTCAGGTAAAAAAAAAACATCTCGTGATTTAAATTTAAATGAATGATTTAGTAGTTTCAAAACAAATACATATTTTTAGATTCATGATTTAAAAAATATTTTTGAAATTAATTGTCCTTTAAATTCAAAGTCAAACCACATTGCCAAATTTTGGTTCTTCAGGCTTTCTAACTAGAATAGTGTCAAATTGATTAAGCAAAAATAAAATTTTATGACCCTTGTACAAGTGACATGAACTAGCATCTTCCGCACCAAAACATTACAATCATGTATAATACTTAAATTTATACTTTTCAAAAATAAAAAACAATAGGAAAAGAAAAATAAAAGAGATGAAATATTCTACCAAGACAGGGATGGTTCGCTTGAAGCTTGAAAGAAAGATAATGAAAGAGGAAAATACCTGCGTGCGTGCGTGCGTTGGCGGGTTGACTTTTCTCTGTTTTTCATTCTCTTCACTTCCTCTTTGTTTTTTATCTCAACCATTAATTTTTTTTAAATAATTGAGATTTAATATTTAATAAAAATTTTTTTATTTTTTAATTATAATCTTAAATTTTAAATTATAATTTAGATAAAATTAATTATATCTTAAATTTATTTATTTATTTTTCATAAATTTCATGTTTAAATAATAATAAAAAATAAAATTAATTTTATTAAATATTAAATTTCAACCAGTTCGAAATAAATTTAATTGTTGAAGTGAGAAATAAAAAAGTAGAGAAAAAGCCAACCCCGGTGGGGGGACGAAAATAACAAAACATGTAATAATAGGAAAACACTATTGGCACCGAAACCGTCGCAGTGTGCCTTGCACAACCCTTATAACCACTAGCCGCCGCCTCACCTCTAAGCACTATGAACGGGCAACCCGAATCGCTTCTCTAATGCTCGCAAAAGCCCACAATGCTTGAAAGTCACGAAAAAGACGATTGCTCCAATATGGGTGCTTCGAGGCAAAAAACCATTTATTAAATAAAAATTGAGGCTGAGTTCAACAAAGGATGCTCCCCAGAAATTTCTTGAACAAGAAAAAAATTTTGAATCCATTGATGCTAATGCAAATATTTAAATTTAATTCTATTCAAACCTAAACTTGAAAATCCCCACCCATTTTAAATCTCAGACGCAGATTTGTTATTATCAATCACTACTAAATTATAAAAATTTAACTCCAACTGTTACGATTTTTTTTTTTATTTTGACAAAAAGGAACTCCGACGGTTTTGATTGAAACCAAGGAAAAACCCAATTACATCGCGAAACAGCGGAGAGATCACGAATGCCAGACCATAACATTAAATTAGTCATTCAAAAGAACATTGTTGAAATTGTTAAATTTCAACGAATACAATCTATCACTTGTTCATATAAACAATAATTGCACAGAGAAACAAATGCAAAACCCTAATTCATGAAATTTCCCAAATCCCTGATTCTCTAACCACCGAATCCGTAAAGAGTCCGGCCCTGCCTCTTCAAAGCGTACACAACATCCATGGCCGTCACTGTCTTGCGGCGAGCGTGCTCCGTGTAGGTGACGGCATCGCGAATCACGTTCTCGAGGAAGATCTTGAGAACGCCACGGGTTTCCTCGTAGATGAGACCGCTGATACGCTTCACTCCGCCACGACGGGCTAGACGGCGAATCGCCGGCTTGGTGATACCTTGAATGTTATCCCTCAGAACCTTACGATGACGCTTTGCTCCCCCCTTTCCGAGCCCCTTGCCTCCCTTTCCTCTCCCAGACATGTTTGATTCGATCCTCCTCACTCTGTCTACAGGACGCTTTGATGCAAGCCTTCGAAGGAACTGCTTGTATCGAACGAGAGTTCTGTAGCGTTTTATATGTACGAAGACGGATTGTGAATTGTTGGATGAGATAGCTATCCGTGTGTTGAGTTTGATGGATATCTTGACCGTTGGATCGGAAGAGCCTGATGTTCATTGGCGGAATGTTGGTAAGGGAGGATTCAAGACTTTAAATTTTCAGAGTTTTTTTTTTTTAAGTGAATTTTTCAGAGTCTGATTTTTATTTGGGCAGATGTGCGATTGAGGAATGCGGTGAAGTTTGAAAACCGCGTTTGTTTCTTGAAAAGTTTAAACGAAAGCGAAGGCGCTAAACTCCAAATATCATACAGGCGACCAAACAAAATATAACACACCACGTGGTTAAGACCTATTAATCTCCAATATAATATTTCATTTCATTTAGCAAAAGGGTAAACTCTAATGCACTTTATAAATCATTTTTATCAATATCATTAATATTAATAAAAAATAAAAAAATAAAAACATGTAGAATTCTTAATATACCCTTACATAACAAATTTAAAAAATGATACTCCCTTCATCTCAAATTATAAAACATTTTTAAATGAGTTTTTTCGTTTTAAAATATAAAATATTTTAAATAAATTAATATTTTATTAAATGCTCTAATTTTAATATTATTCTTTCTCTCTCTATAATTAATTTTTATTATTTCTTATATTAATTTATTTAATGAAAATAATGAAAATTATTTTCAAATTAATAAAAATAAATTAATGATAGATATTTTGAAAAAGTTTATATGTTTATTTTCAAAATATAAGATTGTTAAGTGTATTTAAGAAGATTTATTGATATATAAAATTTTATTTAAAAATATTTTATAATTTAAAACAGAGAGAGTATTACATTACTTTTTTCTCTTACAAAAAATAATTTTAAAATTATCTTTTAAAATATTACCTAAAAAGTGACACAATACTTATAAATGAAATTAAATGAATCTTCCAAAATATTCTTTATAAATGAAACCAAAGGGAGTAACTATTCTTAAATGATTCTTGATCATTTTAAAATTACTTTCAAATTTTATATTTTTATTTTTAAATATACATAACCATAACATATGCTCATTGTACATTAGTCATATTTTAAAAATATAATTTGATTCAGTTTATAAATTATTAATTAATAAAATTATTTTATTTTAAATTAAAATCTTTGAATTATTCTTAAGAATTAAGAGAGAGAAACAGAAAAAAATAATAATGTAATTAATTTTTTTTTTTACTTGAAAGTTATGATTGATGAATATATAATATTAGAACAGCTTTGCTATTCATAAGTTTATTAATGACAAAAAAAATTTTAAAAATTTTAAAAAATTAAAAGATTTTAAAGAATTAAATCATTATTTATATATTTTAAATAAATTTTATTATCATTTTTCATATTTTTACCCAAAGGTTAGGTAAATTTATCGTAGAGTAAATCTATCATTTCCAAATAATAAATCAGTGCAATTTTGCCCAGGTCAACACCAAATATAAAACAAATTGGAGTAAACTTGGCCTTCAAAATTACAGGTGCTTGAGAAGCTCCAGATCGATACCTGTGGTTCCACACAGCAAGGCTAGAACGCATTTCATAGAATAAGTTCCATTAATCCTTTATTAAATAACAACAAAAACAGTTCCAAAAAGAAACTATAAAACAATGATTACTACTTTTACTTCCAGGTTTTAAGATTTTTCTGGCCAATTTAGAATGCGACTGGAAATATTAAGTGACAAAAGTTAAAAACAACATTCACCCAAAAATTCTGGTATACCCAAAAAAAAAAAACCAAAACAAAAACCGTCAGCTCAAAAACAAACGAAACGGGTGAGAGGGAAAAAACGAGACAACTAAAGTAATTAAGCCATCGGCTTCCCCATAGCTTGGACAACGGTGAAATGATAGAAACATGAACGTTTTCAGATAAATGTCCGTAAAGAAGGCTTCGAATTCAAGAAAGAAACTAACAGTGCCCTCAATCAGTTATTAGATCGAAAACAGTACTTCAAATCAACTGGTTCTTTTTTTCTTTTCATAAGACGAATCAAGTGTTCCTGTTCACCCTAAATATCCAATTATCCATCAACGGTAAATCGAAAATCCCAGCCAATAGCTAATTATCAACGATGAGTTTAATTATCAGGTTGTCAAATTGAATCTTACGGAGAAGAATATCGATTAAGGTAACGACGACAACATCATGAGCGCCTGAGTATTACACTAAAATTAATCACCCAATCGAGGAATGCTGTTAATTCAACAAGTAGCATCCATCACTAGCTCATGTCAACTACAATTCCACAGCGAAAGCAAATTCTAAACCCTAATTCGTGAAATTCACCAAATCCCTAAAAATCTCTAACCACCGAAGCCGTAAAGAGTCCGGCCCTGCCTCTTCAAAGCGTACACAACATCCATGGCCGTCACTGTCTTGCGGCGAGCGTGCTCCGTGTAGGTGACGGCATCGCGAATCACGTTCTCGAGGAAGATCTTGAGAACGCCACGGGTTTCCTCGTAGATGAGACCGCTGATACGCTTCACTCCGCCACGACGGGCTAGACGGCGAATCGCCGGCTTGGTGATACCTTGAATGTTATCCCTCAGAACCTTACGATGACGCTTTGCTCCCCCCTTTCCGAGCCCCTTGCCTCCCTTTCCTCTCCCGGACATGTTTGATTCGATCACTCTCTTTCTCTTTCTCACTGTTCACCAGACGCTAGAAGCCTGAAAAGCAAATCTTCGGAAGAAAATTGAATGACGAAAGGAGAGATGGGGGACCTTATATAAAGTACGAAGACGGGTTATGAATCGTAGGATTACGTTGCTATCCGTGTGTTGAGTTTGTTGGCTATCTTGACCGTTGGATCGGAAAAGCCTGATTTTCATTGGTGGAATTTTCGTGTGGAAGGATTCGAGGCTTTTAATTTTCTGTCTTTTTTGTGGGAAACGAGCAATTGCGGAATGCGGCCAAATTTGAAAGTTTCATAAGAAGTTTAATGAAAGCAAAGGCGCTAAACTCTCCAGTCATGTTACCGGCACCTAAACAAACTGTAACAAGCAACAACACAACACTGGACACTGGTTAAGAGCCTGAGGGTGTGTTTGGATTTTAATTGAAAAAAATTGATTAAGAAAAAAATTGATTATTAGAATGTGATGGTGTTTGGATAAATTTTCAAAAATTGATTATGATATTGATTTTTCAAAATGGAACAAATTTTAGCTTATTCCAACTGGAGTTTTGAAAACCAAATGGAGTTTGGGAAAATTGGGGTGTTTGGATAAAAATTTTCAAAACCATGATTTTGAACCCAAAATTGATTCTAAATGGGTATCCAAACAGGCCCTAAGGCTTCCATCAATGCCCCCAAAGTCTTTCATCCAGTTATATTTTTAAATTATTTTCACATATACTAAATAAATAATTAGACGTACGATAAATTTACTGCTCTTTCTTTTTAAATTATAAAATATTTTAAAAAAAAAATTGACGTCTCAAAATATAAAATGTTTTCAAAAAATTAAGATTTCATTAAATATATTTATTTTATTATTTTTTTCTATATAATTAATTTTCGTTTATTTTTTTAATATATAAAATGATAGGTATTTTTAAAAATTTATATTTTTATTTTATAAAAATAAAGTTGTTGAATGTATTTAATAAGATTTATTGATATATAAAATTTTATCTAAATATATCTTATAATTTGGGATGGAAGAAGTATTTTATTTTAATAATAATAATAATAATAATAACAACAACAACGAAAAACATAACTTGGGTCCATACATTTTACTCAAATTTTGTTATAAGTTTCTATATTTTTTTTATATTTTAGGTTTTTATACTTTTATTTTTTAGTATTCTATAAAAGAAATATAACTTTCAATCCTTGTAATTTTTTTTTTTGTGTTTTAAATCTTTACACTTTCATTCTAGATCCCTATAACATCATTTATGAAAGGACTTCGAGCATTAAAAAATAAAAATATAAGAATTTAAAATATTAAAAAATATATGAATTTATAACAAAAACTCGAAAACGAAGTTATGTTTTTCTCAATAATAAATGTCACGTCATATTCATAATCAATTACCCATGTTGTATCAAACTTCTTGCAATATGCACACACAAAAATGTGCACCTCAATATATGAATTTTGTCACCGCACGTGGCCGTGAGATGAAATGTTTGAATTCAGAGAAGGAAAAGAAAAACTCAATGGTTCTGATCAAAGGAGGGACACGAAGTTAGCGAAATTTCTGGGCTTTTAGTAAGGGTTCTAAAAATTTTATCAAACTATAATGAGGACAGGAATATCAATGCCACTTATGTGCAGCATGTTTTGTGGCATCAACAGCAACGGATGGAACGAGGAGATATAGATTGATGTGTGTATGTTTGGTTTTTAATTTATTAAAAATATATTTAATAAAAATTAATTTAATAAAAGTTAGTTGCTATAATGAAAATTATATTTAAATATATTTTTTTAAAGATTAATTGATAAATTAAAAGATATATTAATGATGATATGTGCTTTTTAAATATATAATGAAATGATAATTGATAATTTTTATTATATAAATATAATATATTAGAAATGTTAAAAAAAGTAAAAAAATTTTAAAATAATATAAAATTTAACATGTTAAATAATAAAAATAAAAAATATGTAATCTAACATTAGGAAAAAAAAATTAAAACATACTCCCTCCGGCCCTATTTATAAGTCATTTCTACCAACCTCATCAATACCAATACAATAAAAGTAAGTAAAATTTCAAACATGCCCCTATATAACAAATTTAAAAAGTAATGTCCTATTATTTTTTCTCTCTCATGAAGGGTAATTTTGGAAATACCTCTCAAATATTACCTAAAAAGACGCACCGTGACTTATAAATGGGACCAAATACACCTTCTAAAATTGGACTTATAAATGGGACCGGAGGGAGTAATAAGAGTAGTCTATTCTTTTCAATGTATTTTAAAATTATTAATTTATTTTTATACTATTTATAAAACATTTTTAATATAAATAGAATAAAAAAATTCTTTTCTTACTTTATAAATATGATCAGAAAAAGTATTACTCTCTCTCCTAATTTTATAAATTTCGAATTATTAAGTATCTGAGTACTTAAATTATTGTTGTTAAAATGTAAAAACTCAATGTAACTTGTATTTACAAGTTAAAGTTCAACTGTTTTTTGATAAAATATTTGTATTTTCACAGCATAATATCATATACAAAATTAAAAAGATTTTATTATAATAATTTTCTTTTTAGGTGAATGTCATTCTCCCTAAGTAATAATGTTTTTAACTATTCATATTATAAAATGTTCATATATAAATTTTAAAATTTTAAAAATAAAAAATATCATAATTAAAATAAAATGAAAAAGAAGTTAAAATATTTTATTCTATTAATTAATGTTTAAATATTTAGTTTTTTAAAACGTTAATTTGGCAACTCCCTTCGATAACACAACCCAGTTTCCCACTTTTCTCTAATGTACTGACCACAACCACCAGATTCAAAACTACGAAATCTGAGGGGATTTCATCTTATTAGGATCCAATTGGACTTTACCTTTTGATCCTTTCAAGCGCAAACATCCAATTATCCAACGAAGCTACGTCAACAATCCCCGCCAATTGCTAATTACGCAAACACAATAAACGATAAGAGCTCAATTCTCTGATTTTCAAATTCAATCCGAAGAAGAAATGAATCTATTCAGGTAACGACGATCAATTCAAGAATGCAAGGGTGTGGCATTAAAATTTAATCATACAATCAAGGAAGATTGTTATATTTCAGCCAGCCGAATTATCACTTTTTCATATCAACAATAGTTGCACAAGAAAGCAATTGCAAAACCCTAATTCGTGAAATTCCCCAAATCCCTAAATCTCTAACCACCAAAGCCGTATAGAGTCCTGCCCTGCCTCTTCAAGGCGTACACAACATCCATAGCCGTCACGGTCTTGCGGCGAGCGTGCTCCGTGTAGGTGACAGCGTCGCGAATCACGTTCTCAAGGAAGATCTTGAGCACCCCACGGGTTTCCTCGTAGATTAGACCGCTAATACGCTTCACGCCGCCACGCCGGGCGAGACGGCGAATCGCTGGCTTGGTGATACCTTGAATGTTATCCCTCAAAACCTTGCGATGACGCTTAGCTCCTCCCTTTCCGAGTCCCTTGCCTCCCTTTCCTCTTCCAGACATGGTTAAACTTTCTTGCTTCTTCTTCCTCCTCTCTCTCTCTCTCTCTCTCTCTCTCTCTCGGACGCTGAGGCCGAGGTCTTGGATCGAACTGATAGGGTGAATGTAGATATCTGAGGCCTTATATAAAACACGAAGACATACTATGGATCGTTGGATGAGCTGGCTATCCGTGCGTCGAGTACGGTGGATAGCGACACCGTTGGATTTGGAATCCACGATTTTTATTGGTGGAATGGAGGTGGGGCAAGATCGGAGGCTTTATGTTTTCGGAGCTATTTTGGTGGGAAATGTCAAATATGCGAGAGTGCGGGGAAATTTTTCCAGGACCGCCGTTTGTTTCCTGAAACAATTAAAAGGCGCTTAACATGAAATTTTTTAGTTTTTTATCCGTTTTCAAACAAAATATAGCAACAAATAACTTAATAAAAATAGATATAATAAACTATTGTATATAAAGTATAAATTTTTGAACTTATAACATCGCTAAAAATTGTAAGATTTTAATTTAAAAAAATTTATTTGAATCTAAATTCCTTTATGCATGGCTAAATATTCTGGCATAGACTGTGAGTTTGTAAAGGAAAAAAAAAATTTGAATAGGTTTTTTTGGCCTAAAAAATAGTTTATTACACTTGTAAGAAATGAAAATAAATTTTTTTAACCACTTATTTTCAAATATAGAGACAGTGAATGTAGTAACACATACGAGTACCATGGAGTTCTCCGACCCAAATTATTGAGTTGGGCCTTTAATGTGTGCACATTTTCATTGATCTCAGTTTTATATGTGCACCCAATAACCTGTAAATTCAATATTTTCTCTGGTCCTTTTGTTAAGCTATCGAGATTTCACTCAGTGGCTTTATTGTATTTGTTACTCTTCATAAGAGCCTATTTGAATTTTAATTATATATATTAATTAATTTTAATTTTAATTAATTATGTTATAATGCAATCTTTTTTAATATTTTTTTTTGAAATTGCTTTTAGCTATGTAAATTATTAATAAATTATATTTAATATTATTAAATTTGTTAACCTTCATTTAAAAGTAAAATATATTATTTAACAATAAAATTAAATCTATAAATAACCTCTTAGAGCTTATTTCAAAACAATAAAATTATGATTGATTTTGATTTTAGTTAGTTGTTTGGGTAATTTTTAATATAATTGATTTTTTTCACCCCAAAAATCAATTATACACCCAATCCAAACAAGTTGTAAGAAACATTACAAGTTCAGTTCCATCAATGTTTATGTACAGCAAGTTCGCTCATTAATGGTAACAAATCAAAAGATGAATATGATTTGAACTATTGCCAGTTATGTAATGTCATGTACAAAAAGTTGTGACTAAAGTTATTGCCAATAGAATTAAACCTTTTCTTCCAAATATTATTGCTCCTAATCAATGTCGTTTTATTTCGAGAAGAATTAGCTCGAATAATAACATCATATCTCATGAAGTTATTCATTCTATGTGTAATATGAACGAGAA